TGGTCCGATATGGGGAGTGCGTTGAAAGACTATCAAATCAACTACACCGTTGAGAATTACAACAAATCATTTGAACCAATGCATGCATAAGCGTGTGTGTGAGAGAGAGGGAGATTGAAAAAATCATATTCAATCTTTTTGTTGTTTATATGTCTATATTGTGTATGGTTTATAGAGCGGATTATGTGGTGGTGATCTGCTATTGCATGGGTTCTCTTCCAATTTACCATCGTATATCGGCCCCCCTGTGCCGCATACTTGTTTTTTTTTTATTGTGTGGGTAGATATAAAGTGCACCTGATCGCTATTTACCCTTCGCCAACAACAACACAGTGCCTCACCCCTCAATCGCCCGTTAGTATCCTAATCCCATACTTTGGTATCGTCGCCTAGTAGGGTTTGTATTTGCCTGCGCTTCTTCCGTTAGTCAAATGTGAAAACAACGGTCTTCGATAGCCCGCCCCCCCCAAAAAAAACCCCCCATGAGTCTCCAGACTTTCCTTTGTTAGTACATTGATGTTAAAACACTATACCTGAACTGTCTAATTACCAGTGATGAAGCTGTGTGGGGTTGGTTGTATATCACTGGTAAGATTGGCGTGCCTTTAGAGACACGCTGTATTAACAAAGCCCCCCGCACTGTGGTGCATCCATGTGTTGCTAGGTGACTCGCAGGATGTGTATTCCGGTGCGGACAACAGTCCCGAGTAGGCGTGTGCAGTTAGACAGTCTTAGTGTGGGGTGGCTTGTGCATGGGACTGTGCTGCAGTATTCACCTTGGCTACTCGAGCATTGACCTGGTTGTGTCTCTGCGTGTGTGTAGCTAGACAGACTTAGTGTGGGGTGGCTTATGCATGGGACTGTGCTGCAGTATCCCCATTGGCTACTCGAGCATTGACCTGGTTGTGCCTCTGCATGCACTGCGCTTTAGATTAATCGCCGAAGCGAATGCCATAGAAGACACATTCTACTACCTGGTGAAAGCGCTGGACCGCGACTCCATTGATTTCGATCATTATCTGAAGGTACGTCCAACCCGTTGAGCGAACACCCGTTGACGTGCTTTAGTCATTAGGCACTTAAGTTTAGTAGAGAGCCACTTGAGTACGATGCTATGCTTCGCATGCTGAAAGTGGGCTGTAGATATACTACAGCAGTGTAGGGATGTTTGTCTGAACTGTGACTACTTCAAGACCGACAACGCCTATGTATACTCATGGAGACGATGTGTCTACAATGAGGGTACTTATTGTCAAGGCGTCCAGAAGAGACTATCTCTCTATTTCTCTCTTCACATGTATAATGCCTCTGTGCATGTTTAACCACGTGCGTGCTCGTATATATGCGC